CTTGGGGAGTTTAGTGCATCTTTCTCGGGGTGTACGAACCTTTAATTAAAGACTTATTCGGGGACTTATATGGGGTGTTTGCAGTGATGGTGCTGGCTTGTTTTTGGCTGGAAGCTGTGGGCCCGTGAGCCGATCTCTGCGAGTTCGCTGGGTGCGGCCCCGCCCCTGCCTTGCTGAAACTGTGTGCACCACTATAGAATTGCATTGCAGCTGCAGGATTCTGAATGTATGTGCTGCAGGGTTTTGCTCTCTCGAAGGTCTGTGTGCTGTCTTTTCTTTAGATCTTTTGGAATCATGGCTGCCAGTATGCTGGCTAGATGCTCTGCGGCGAGCATCTCAACAGCACACCGCGAAGGACTTGAATCGGATTTCGGTATACCGTTTGATTCTCAAGATTTCCCATTATCGTCGGGTACATAAGATCCTGCATTCACCTTCGCTTGTTGGAAGGACTCCTGCGACTGCCGGATGCTTTTTGGCTCGGCTACAGCCATTTATGCTGAGCCCAAGGTTCGGGACTCCCTGCACAAGTATACAGTTTGTCATGGCCCGTCACATGCCATACCACATGCAGGACATGCCAAATCCGGACCAACTGCTTGCAGATATAGTCGCCAACATTAGATTGGATGGCATATGCAAGCACTTCATGGACTTGTGTAAGCAGGGTCCAGGCGGGGCGGGGGGCTGTTTTCAAAACCTTAAACCTTAAATGGACCTAAACCCGAGACCCTGAGCCCTGAACCCTTGGGTTTTTAGATCTACAATAGCTCTTAAACTTAAATGGTTCCGAATACACAACCCGAGACCCAGAACCCCTGGCAATGCCAGCTTTTCGACGATTCTGTCAGCAGGTGTCGATGCGATCTTCGTCGACCCGCCTTCGGAGTGATGGTGATGCTTCGAAGAGTGAAGGGGATGGGTTGCAAGGACACATGTGGTCGGCAAGTTTTACACGGGCGGCTGCAGGGATCTTGCAGGGGTGACTTCTGAAAATAGCTCGCATTGTGCTGCAGCGGTCAATCCTCATCACATTATATACATGTGCCCTCGCAGGCGATGTGACATGCCATGTTTCTTTGAAGGCCGGGTAGCTGGCCGAGAGTTGTGGGATAAGCTGATGCGAGTCGAGCCTCCTGGCACGCAGGCGGTGGAGCCGCATCGGTGTTTTCCAGGCACCTTAACTTTCAATCGGTCTGCTTCAGTTCATCGCATAATGTAACACATGATGCAGGTGCCTCCTGCTGTGTGGTGGCTGGCTTTTCATTTTGGCTTCGGCTCCTACGTCTGGAACTCAGCCTCGATCCTAACCAATCTATGAGCCCTATATACTCCAATCCTTTCTTCAGGTCTGACCGGGAGCTCGAGATTTTGGGTGGCAAAGGCTGGGGCACATGGTCTAGCAAGTGAGTTAATTTGGTCATTGGCTACAATTGCAGGCTTGGGAAGCAAGTTTGGGGATGATCGAAGGGCCTGCTGCTCGGTGCTCAGTGTGGCTCGTGCTGAGATTGAAGACAACCGTTTACGCAGTGTTTTGTCGGTGAGCACCAGCAACTTCCTAAGCAGAACGGGGGATCACAGGTTGAGGAGCTTAGCCTTGCAGGGTTTTTCAGTGATGGCTGCTGCTCCATGCTGCTGCCGGGGATGCTGTCGGTGAAGGGCGACACTTGAGACTTCGGCGACACCCACGAAACTCGTGGCCCGAAAAGCGTGCCCTCGCGAAGCGGCTGGAAGCCGATGTTCTTGTTCGAGACAGCTTTCGGACGAACAACTCCCAGCTGCTTCGTTGGACGAGCCCGGAAACCGTGGGGACTGCAAGCCTCAAGGCCCTTGCCCTGAATGTCGAGATCATTAAGATATCCCTGGATGTCTGGAGTTCCGCTTCGGCACTTCCGAAAGCAATGGTCATATACTGGTTGAAAGAGGAGGCTTTGGATTTTGGGAGTCAATGTAGATATAGTACTTTAAACCATACTCGGGAAAATCTAGGGTGCTAATATATGTATAAACCCGGAATGATCTGTGAAGGTGTTGGAGGTTCACAGGCTACTGAACCCCACGGGTTTTTCCAAACGTGCTGTTGCCATCTATTTGGATGCCTGGGGAATCAAACGTCTTGCTTCTTTGGCTATCAGACGCTGGCGGGCCCCCATAGCCATTCTGAGGGATTCTCAGAATGCAAGTAACATGGCCCGTCATTGGCATGTCGTCGTCAAAGATTTCCCGATTCTGATGTCCCCGTGCTACTTAGGACCGTAGCCTACGGGTCTTGTTCCATGTCATGACAGAGGAGTGACGATCCACCAAGCTACGATCCATATGCTATGGTCGAGGCAGAAGAGTCGCAGGAGGCTTCGAATGGCCGAGAGCTCGAAGCAGGTTCGCCTGGAGCTTCGCTTGACGATTTGTTTGATGATGAACTAAGAGCTTCGCCTGGGGCTTCTCGTGAGACTTTGCTTGATGAGCCCCATGAAACTACAGGTTCGCATGGAGCTTCTCCCGAGGCTTCGCATAATGAGCCCGATGAAGCTACAGGTTCGGATGGAGCTTCCATTGAGGCTTTGCTCGCTGATCTGAACGAAGCAGGTTCGCATGGAGCTTCGCATGGGGGGCTGAACGAACCAGGTTCGCAGGCTTTGGATACTGAGCTAGAGGCAATCACTGCCAAGATCCAGGTGCTGCAGAGCCTAGGCTTAGTAGTAAAGTGTATGTGCGGTCTTTGTAAAGGTTCCTGATGCAATCGCTCATTGTTGCTCTATGCTTCTGATCAGGAATGCCTTGGCGGATCGTCGCTTCAGCAGTGCCTTATAAGCAATTATAACACGGATGTGTTTGAGCCCCGACAAACAAGAACGCATACGAACATTTCCTTGCAAGGTAATTCCTTCGACCCCTCGAATGAAGACACCTTGCCTTCTAACATCATGGATATGCCCCACATGAACTTCTCCGTCGAAGCTATTAGCGACGATGATGGCGACGACGAGGAGACTCGGACCCATGCCTACACCCCGGATCGCGAGGTCTTGCCCTGTGAGGATGCCAAGGACGACAAGACTGCTGCAAAGGCCCCTGACTCCGAAGCTAAAGCATCCCAAGCGGCCAAGGCTGCCGCTGATGACGATGGGGCACCGGATGAGGCCTTTGATGTCGTCGATTACGAGGCACTTACAGGGCTGGATTGATCGTTTGTTTACTCAAAGCATGAAGTTGCATGTCATTCTTTAAACACTCCTCGATGGCAGGGCCAGCCAGACCGAATGGCTCAAGCCGATGCTGTACGCAAGACCACGGGTCCTGGCAGCAGAGGTGGACGAGGCGGGTGAGGTCGTGGCCGTGGCGGGTCGAGGTCGTGGGAAGAATTCCTCGGAAGAGCCTCCCAAGACCCCCCGGCCCTCGGCCCAGATCCCGAGCACAGAAAACCACGCCTAAGACGACAGAGGAGCCCGATCTCGAAACCCCGGACAAGGTGGAGGCCCCCAAAACCAAGGCCGGCAAGGGCAAGCCTGCAACAGCTGTTGAGAAGCCGAAAGCTACACCCAAAGCGAAAACCAAGGCAAAAGCGAGCCGTAAGGCAACCAAGGCAGCACGATCGGAGGAAGCTGAGGAGGAGCAGGAGGAGCATGAAGCTGAGGAGGAGGAGGCAAAGGAGCAGGAAGGAGGAAAGAAGAAGAGACGACTCTTGTCAGCAGAGGAGAAGTCCTTTGCAGGCAGGCCCAAGCCCAAATCGGAAGACGCAAGCAACCGGTTCGTGGCCATTCGGGATATCTACAACAGCAAGATCCAGCTGCACTTCGGGGCCAGCCAGCAGGAGCTGTTCGTTGCAAATCAAACAGGATGTGCAATATTCCATTCTTTCCCAAGCCTCGGTCTTCGATATTTAACCTAGGAACCTGAAATCCTCATATACGAGCAAGCACTTCTAGACCGTACAAGCCCATGATAGTATTCCGTTATAAATTTGCGATACAGGCGAGAAATTTCCGAATATCTTGACACCTGGGACCCAAGGCCGGCTGATACTTTACCATCACCCTCGGAGGAGCCGGCCGATACTTTACCACTCGCTGCGGAGGAGGATTCCCCTACTTTGCCGACCCCTACCGCGGAGGAGGAGGAAGATTTCAAATATCTCCCTTACAACTTTACCAATCTCACGGATGCAGAGTTGTGGACCGCCTCAGCGTTCTTTGAAGATTGGATGGGGTGCGACAGGCAGGAGTGGTTCGACTATTGGAATACTTTGTGGAAGGCTCCGGGTGGCACAGATACTTTACAGCAGCCTCGGGAAGGTGCTGGAAGTGCCTCCTCAGATGCTCCGCCGGAGGTTCCTTTGCACTCCACGCCCTCGGCATATACGGCTCCTCCTTTGCACTCGCCGCCACCATCCGCGTCTACTACGACCCCGGATGCAGATTCTGTACCACGGCCTGATCCCGGTCGTGAGTCAGGCTCCGAACCAACGGGTGGAGAAGGACCTGCAGATCGTCCTTTACCACCGAATCAAAAATTCTTTACCGCGGCATAGGGGGAGCGCCAACTCATCCAGAAGGCGACGGTGTTCTGGTGTCGTGAGCCATGCTTTTCTTGCAGCGGTGCAGGCTCGTGTGGCGCCACACTTTTGGACCCACGGCACCCTCACGTACATAGGTGCAGGCTTTGCTACGGTGAATACCGTAGGCGACAGGCCCGGAACACCTTTTGCAATGCCTATGGGCAGTAGCTCGCCTACTTTGCGGCCAGGCGCGTCCTTCACGGTGCTTTTTCTGGCCACCGTGGCTCCTTAATTGCGTCAATGTTGGGATCCCACTGCGTGCAGTAATTTTGCGTTATAGCTGTCAGCGTATGCTTGGCTTCGGCCTTCGGCCCTATTGCGTCTGGGACCCAGCAGCACGCGTTACAACCCTACTTTGCTTCCAGGAAAAGAGTCGGCGTGCCAGTGGAGATTTCGTTCAGTTTGCTTTGCAGTTTGTCTTTCTTCACAGTTGCCTGGTCAGGTCATGGAGTCGTTATCTCCGAGATCTACCGTGCAGCAATTGGCCACAGTGTTGCAGCTTTCAATTCCGGCGTTTGCAAAAACGCTCGGAGAGTTGAGTTTGCTTTCCTTTGGCCTTGGTACTGTGAACCTGGAAGGTCTCGATGCTTTCATGGTGGCCAAAGGCTGGTCACCAGATGCCGATGAACTTCCTGTGCTCAGGCTGCTGCGGGTGCAGGCACACAAGATTTGCACTCTACCGTCAGTGGCCTCAGATTCGTCGGCGAGTACTTTGCACTCCACATGGGCAGAGACTTTTCCTCCCAAACTTTCAGCCGAAACAACTTTACAGTTGAAGCGAGATTTCGAGAAAGCGTACCTCTCAGAGGTGCTCGATGACACAAACTTTCCAAGCGCACGTTTGCTTTCCCTTGCTTACAGGCTGAAAGGTACGTCGGATTGGAAGTTCATCTCATGGAAACACAGACTTTCGAAGCAACAAGAGGAGGATTACAATTCGGCTCGGCCCAGGAAGTTGGCACGATTTGAGAACTTTACCGACGTACTTTACGACGACGTGCCATCTCGTAACGTTGCGGAGAACATGGGGCTTTACGGGATAAGCAATTTGCTTTCCACACATTCCAACGCCCTTGCACTTGCTGACATTGCTCATCTTGCTACGTTACGTTCTTATGAGCGGAAGTTCCTGAAACATCTTCAGGCGAGAACAGACCCTACTTTGCGCCCACCGAACGCACAGGAGTGTGAAGCCGCGGATCGTCGATGCTGGGAGGTCGTCGGTCAGCTCAGACAGGAGGGCTGGTCGGTGGATGATGCTTTGCACGAGTTCACTGATGTTCGTGCGGAATTGGTTGCTTTACTTGCGCCTCGGCTTGCTCCTTTCAAGGGTAAGAAAGGTGATGGTAAGGGCAAGGAGCTTTGGAAGGGCCAACCTCACAAAGGTAATGGAAAAGCCACTGGCAGGAAAGGAGTTGCCGGCGCAGGAAAGGGGAAATCCACCTTTACCAAAGGCACACACGCCTTTGAGTGGGCAAGCAAGGCGAAGATCAATGGAGAGCAAAAGGTACTTTGCATGGCCTACAGTACCAAAAATGGCTGCACCTCCCCCAATTGCAAGTTTGAGCACCTTTGCCCCGTGATCCTGGAGAATGGTACGATCTGCCTGCAGAAGCATCCTGCTTTTCAACATGCACAAAAGGCAGGCTCTTGAGGGGGACCGGGCCTTGACGACGCAGGCGGGGAAGGCCTGGTTCCAGTTACTTTGCTTGCAGATGCTCCAGGAGATGCTCCGTTTCCACAGCCGCGCGATCTCCATTCGGATCCCGTGGTACAGAGTGCTCCTCAGAACTTTGCATGCTCGGTCTCGGAACCTGGCTCAGGCTTTTTCCTGGACATCAACGGGGGGACTCGTCGCCCTCTCTCGGCAGCTTTTCTGGGGGCGGGCTGCGATACGTTCTCAGTCTCCCCAGAAATTTTTCCGGAACGTGACCTTTTGCAGGATGATTTCTTCTTTGCTTTGCTCAGGGTTTGTCACTCTGGACAAGTGGCTCTTTTACACATCCTGCTCCTGGCCAGTGACTTTTCCTCGACTCTCTTCGAGCGCATGATTCAGATAGCTCATGCTTGCTTTGCTGCGGGATCCCATGTATTGCTTTCTCAGCACTCTTCCGCGGCAGTTTGGAGCAATTCCTCAGTGGTTTTTCTTTTGCAGCAGATGAGCTCGGATGCCATTTTCTGGGACCCGCGTCAATTCGGATGCAACTTTCCAGGTTTTGGGGTCTTGGCTGCGTCCTTCTCTTCTTTACAGCATTTGGCGACTTCCTCTTCGGCGACTTCTTCGGCGCAGGCCCCTTTTGAACTGGATTCTTCTTCGCTGGGCGCAGACTTTGTGCTCGCTGTGGCCCAGGGTTCCTTGCACCTTTTCTCATCCAGAAGCTCGGAACCAGAGATTTGCATCTGGGACAAATTCCTTTTCTGAGGCTCGTCAAACAGAGGTTCGAGCCGCCCTTTGCGAACCAGGACGGCGCAGGTATTTACTCGGTTCCAGATTGGAGTACACCACCTTCTGGAATTCAGGATGTACTTTGCGGCCTTCGATCCAAGCTCCGGCGATGGGTTTTTGATCATAAGATCCCACAACGACTGCGGAGTCATGCTTTGCAACACAACTCGGAACCACTTTTCAGTACAGGTGAGATCCATCAGCTCCGGCAACTCTTTCAGAGCTGGGTTTCAGAACAAGGATCATCGCATGTTGTAGACTGGACTATCCCGGAGCACCAACCCTATGCCCTACATGCGTTGAAATTCTTTTCGGAGTTTGTCAAAGACAAAGATGATACACTTTGCCAGTGCCTCATCGATGGGGTTCCCACGGGCTATGATGGGGACATCCCGCTTTCCAAGGTTTTCATACCACACGCCTCGGCACCAGATCTTGATCACCAACTTTCCATTGCCAAGGATAACTGGCAGAGTGCGAACAACGACCCAGATACTCTGAGGGAGCTTGTGCAAGCTGAGGTGCAAAAGGGCTGGCTGTATGAGATGCCTTCTTTGCAGGCGGCGCAAGAACGCTGAGGTGAACGCGTCGCGGTGGGGAAAATGTCCTTAGTGCTTTCCCCGCCGAGAGCTCCTAGGTTGGTTGTGGACTCCACAGTCTGTGGTACAAATGATGCCTGCTCTATTCCCGAGCGCTATACTTTGCCAGGCCTACAAGATGTCCGGGATTGCTTTCCTTTGCGCCATCATGCAGGCCTATGTGAAGGGTTTCATCTTGATGTCAAGGCGGCCCATAAAACGGTCCGGGTCAAGGAAGCTGATCAAGGTCTGCTTGGCGTTACTTTACCAGGCCAAGATGGCAGTGCAGACAAGCTTCTCTTTTATCGCGTCTGCCCATTTGGAGCAAATTTTCCTGCTTTGTGGTTTCAACGGTTAGCTGGTATGCTTTTACGGCTCATGCATTTATGGATTTTTGTGCGCCACGCTCTCATGGGTTATGTCGACAACTCTCTTTTTGTCCAGGATCGTGAATGCATTCTTTATTCGGCTTCCCTCCTGCTGTGCTTTACCTCCATCTTTGGAGTACCTCTGAGCTCGGCCAAGTTGCAACTGGGGAGCTGCATCACATGGATAGGCTGGACGTTTAACTTTACCAGTGGCTCCTTTCACATTCCTCAGGAGAAGGTCGACAAGCTTTTCAATTTGATTCAAGAGGTCACGCGGTCCAGGAGAGTGACGAGTGCTTTGCTTCATAAACTGGTGGGACTTCTGCAGTGGTTCTGCCAACTTTATAGATCTTGCAAACCTTGGTTGGCCGGACCTGCACAGGCACCTGGCATCTCAGTATAGCATCTCGCAGGGTCTGTGGCCTTCCTTGTCAAGGTACTTGGATGATGATCTTCGCTTTACGGCAGTTCCCCCAGGTACCCAAGTACCCCTTGGAGGTAAACTGCTAGAGGCGCGCCATACAGAACTCAAGACTAAGCAGGATCTTTGCAAGGTTCGGACCTCTAACAGGATCTGGATGCGGGTGGCGAACCCGAAGTCGGACCGCCGGTCTCTGTCACCGGCATCTCGTACTTTCCTTGCCTTCTGGAAGGAATGGTGTCAGCGACCTCAGCCGTACACTGCGCTTTCTCTTCCTTTGCGAATCCAGGTTGAGGCCTTTGCGGATGCAAGAGCAGACGGCGAACTGATTGGCATTGGTGGCTTTCTGGCTTTTCCATCAGGCAAGTCTATTTGGTTTTCTGAAGCCTGGCAACTTTCCGACCTTTCCGTCCTGGGACTCGAACTTCGACGACCAGCGCATAAGGATATCGCATGTTACGAGACGCTGGCGCAGATTGCTTTGGTACATGCATACAGATCGGTCTTCCCTTCGGGTCGGGTGGCTGTTCGACTGCCTTCCTTTTCGGACAATGCCTCTACAGAGGCCCTGGGAGCAAAACTTTACACCTCCAAATGGCCCCTGGGCGCGTTTGCCCAGAAACTTTCCCTGAGATCAGCAGCGTCGGGGATTGAGCTGGATATTTCTCACATTGCCGGTGAGAAGAATGATGACGCAGATCTTCTAAGCAGGTGGAACCAAATCGATGCTTTACCTGACAAATGGCGGAAGGAAGACCGAGTGGACTGCTCCCTCAAGTTCATTTGGTTCTTCCGCAAAGAGGTCCAGGTGTGGCCTTCCCACTTTTCTTTACCTGCAGGGACACAAGAACGACATGTGTCAGATGATGATCTTTGACAGAGCCCGCAGGATATTTGCCCGGGGCATTCATGTTTGGCTGCTTTACGCCCGCAGGATGTTTGCCCGGGGTGCAGCATATGCTTGCCACCCGCAGGATGATTGCCCGGGGTGATGTGGTGCTGCTTTACGCCTGCTGGAAGTTTACCCGGGGTGCAGCGTTTTACTGAGCGAGCGTGTCAAACTCTCACTTTTCACTTTGGGAACCCGTAGGGCGAGACTTTGACTTTGCCGGTTACACTGTGGGTCTAAACTCTCAGAAGCTTCGTAGTAGCTTTACTCTGCTTAGCTTTGGCTTGCAGCTTACTTACTTCTCGCGTTTCCGGCAAGGTCAAAAGGTCTCTCTGCTCAGCTTTGCTCTGTAGCCCGTAGCGTGTCTTGGGTTAGGTAAAGTTGAACGTTTCATGTGTTTACTCATGGGTGTTTTACTTTACCGTGTTCCAAACACAACATTTCGGCCCAAGACACGCGTGCTTCAGCATAGCATAAAGCTTCGCTCCATGCTTTAAAATTTTGACCCTCCCGCCCTGCCCTGTTGTGATGTTTTATATGTGGCTCTAATTGTAGCTGTACTTCATACCTTTCGTACTTTTGTTGCTTTACTTTGGGCGAAGGGGGGGGTCTAAACTCTCGAAGCTTCGTAGTAGCTTTACTCTGCTTAGCTTTGGCTTGCAGCTTACTTACTTCTCGCGTTTCCGGCAAGGTCAAAAGGTCTCTCTGCTCAGCTTTGCTCTGTAGCCCGTAGCGTGTCTTGGGTTAGGTAAAGTTGAACCCCAGTGCTCCGGAGGCTCACAACATCCCGGCTCCACCGGATGATGAGACGATGAAGAATATGAGCTCGATCGTGTCGCTCGCCGTCCATGTCCTCCGGCTGCGCGACCAGGGCGTGAGCATCTTGGAGGGGTCGCTCCAGAGGCGACTCCATCACCGCCGCGTGAGATGCACCAACCACGAGCAATCCGCCGCAGCGGAAAGCGCAGAAGAAAGAGTCTTTGTCTCTTCCTCACTCGGAAGGGGAGACGCTGCGTGTATCTGGTCGATCACGATTTTCCAACGAGAAGAAACTGCCGATGGTACTGAGAATGAAGACAAAGGTTCCCGACGATGACCACTGGGGGATCCTAGGATCGAACGACTCATTCAGATGTATCATGATCCAGCATCGCTACGAATAGTTCGCAAGCGCGCTGCGGCGCTGATCATTGCCATGAACGCCAACCCGGATGACGAAG